GAATTGAATCCATTGGTTGAGGTCTTCAGTGCGCACCGCAAATAGCCATATATTCAATACATGGTATATCACTAATAAATACCTCAATCGATATTCAATTGTGTATTTTTCATAGCATTAGCAGACAGACCGGCGCTTATATTGTGTTTTATATTAAGTTATGTTAAAAAAATAAATTTCTAAACAAACAATAAAACTTTTGTATAGCTTTTTGCTGTTAAATAGAGGCATAAAAACTTTGCTTTTAATTCAAAATAGCCGTAAAATATGGTCAATTAAGAACCAACTAAAAACTAATAACTCTGTGAACTCATACAAGTTTATAAATTATAATATATGTACCGTAATAAATAATATGTTTACAACGAATTTACATTAAAACATTTACATAAACACAAAGAGCACCTAGCTCATTATTAGCCTATAATTGAACAGTTAAATCATATCTGTTTAAACAGTTTTACACTCTTTTACTTCAAATCCATATAAAGCATACGAAATCTCATTTAATACAAGATTCAAATAAAACTAATTTAACAGACATTTAGAAAATATATAAAAACAATTTGTGAGACAATAAACGCAATCATATAAACAGATGCCTTACTTCTGTGGCGAGTCATCGAACCAATCCTTCTTGGGATCCGTCGTCTCCTTCTGTCTCTCCATCTGAAGTGTTAACTCTTTTCTGTATTCCTTAACCTTTCTGTCGATCACTTCTTCAGTAAAACTACAGATAATAGAGAAATAAATGGTTTTGAAATTGTAAAACATTTAGTAAAGCATTCAATAGAGAGTATGGTATGAGACAAACCCCTGGAGTTCCATCTGTTCCTCCATCTGAAGACATTTGAGTTCAATCTGTCGCTTGTTTTGGTGCTCCAGAATCTCTTTATTGGGAACTTTATTCAACTCCCGCTCCAGACGTTTGAAGTCGTCTTCGCTTTTGTATTGGATTTTATCCTTAATTTGTTTGACAAACGAAAGGTTGCGTTGAATGTAACCATTAGTACCGCTCCCGCGGGCCGTCTGTAACCCAATCCCGTTATACATGACTGTCCTCTACTTGTGTCCACTAATGATGACAACGATGTTTGTTATGATAATCACCGCTAATCTGGTCCTGAATTAAAGCCCGAAAATAAGTTTTGTTATATTTTGATAATTTTAACACAAAATTTGCTAAAAAAATAATTCATGTTTTGTTGCCATACCTTAAGAGTCGAGTGAAACGAGTGGCCAATAAAGTGATGATTAAAATGTGATAACAATTAATTGATTTAATTGTTTTGCAATTCAATGCTGTCTTTCACTCACAAAACGTATCGTTTGTCTCAATAATAAACACAAACAATAAAATGAATGACCGATTGATTCGTACATAAAGTATGTCACAGTTATGTGACAAAACTTTTGTTCATTTGATGGCAAACTTTTCTAAACTTTTAAATGAAACAAACTTTTCGTTTACATAACTAAACAATTCATTAAATTAGATATTATATGTATTGACACATGTTTTTATACAAATTAAACAATTTTTGTTTATTTTTCAAAACGTATATTTCATTTGTTTCCCAAAATATACACAAAAAACAATATTTTTAGCACAAATTTAAATCAATGTTATGTAAAAAATTCAATAAATATAATGAAATATGTAATGAATTTTTCTTTTTTAAAAAAAGTTATATTTTATTGCAAATTAAAAACATAAATAAATAGTAATTAAGATCCGATAAATTGTCGTTTTGTATTGTCTTTGTCTGTCATTGCAATACTGGTTTTTCATAGTCTTTGGACTTTGAAATGAGCTGCACATCCTGTATTCCCGGGCCTAGAGGATGGGAGTTCGACTCCCAGTAATATGACTCCTTGTCTTATGGAAGATGAATTCCAAGA